GGTTCTAAAAAAAAAAAAAAAAAAAGTAATTTTTTTTTTTAAGAGTCTTGTCTTAACACTTGTCTTTCTTTTGATTTTGGATTGAAATATGACCTGGGCATACACATAACAGGTTCTATGAGTTTCCCAGAGTCCTATTGGCTTTGCTCAGTGCTGGAATGTGTGTGATCAGCTGTGTTTAACAGTGAGTTTCTTACTGGGGCCATGATGACATTAAAAATGCTTGAGTTGAAAAGCAGGTATCTTCTGATGGACGGGTGGTCCAGCGCTAAATGAAGTGGACTCTCAAAGTCTTCTGCTGGAATCTGAAATAGATTTAACATCAAAATACAACGTGGAAGTAAGACGTTGAATAATTTAGAAATGCATAGAAATGATCGGATGCCTGAAATGTACTAGCCTGGAAGCCTTTGGTTTCCAGAAGAGTCCTGCAGTGTGAGAAGTCAAAGGTGGGAGTGAACCAAGTGGATGTGGACACAGACGCCACACACTGACCTGACAGAAAGACACCAGCTGTGGTCAATAAACAATTTAAAACTGAAATCTCATCTTTAATAGCTGGTGTCTCTTGCTGTCAAGGAGAATTTGAGCAAGATTAAGCCTATTAAGAATTAAAAATGAAAGTAATGCATTTGAAAGAAGGAAAGTGGATTAACTGAGTCACATATTTTCCATTCCTGTGGCCTTAAAGAAGATCTGCAGTTTGACATCTTATGAAAGACTCATCAGAGCATTTCATTCAGGATGGTAAAAATCACACTGCAGTCACATTCCCACTCAGTGTTTGATGATTTTGGTTAGCTGGTTTGATATTAATACTGAAAGAGGACAGGCATAGAGAGGAACGGGGCAGTACAAATATAAATCCATAATTCTAAATAGCAGTCAAATGAGATCTCACACTCAGAAAGGAAACTCAAAAGAGGGTTCAAACTTCAAATAGCCAAAAAAAATGTAAATGACGATGGCAAACCTTTGGTCAGGGCTCAGTTTGTCTCAGTCGATGCTTTTGGCACGTTGCACTGCCTGTTTAAGGACAGGAAATTGGATGTTGAGATGTTGGCGTGTCACTCAAAAGTGTAGGCAGATGAACGTGAGGCGGGTTTAAATGAACTAAATAATTGGAGAAATCCTGCATACGTCTGTTATTTCACTAGAAGATCCAGTTTTGACATTTTAATTAAAAATGATGAGGTAATGAATCACAATAAGATCTATAACATGGATTTTAGTAAAAAGATTTTCATTTCATGCCGACTTTAATTTACGGCCACAATATATTGCCTCAACAAGCACAACAAACTAATGATGTCTAGGAAGGTCAAGACATAGTGTAATATGTATAATGTAAGAAAAGCACAATTCATAATATAAATCCATAATTCTAAATAGCAGTCAAATGAGATCTCACACTCAGAAAGGAAACTCAAAAGAAGGGTTCAAACTTCAAATAGCCAAAAAAATGTAAATGACGATGGCAAACCTTTGGTCAGGGCTCAGTTTGTCTCAGTCGATGCTTTTGGCATCCGTGACTGACTGTCCTGTGGGGGATTCAACATCACCTCTTTCCTCTCCATTAGACTGCCGCTCCCTCTCCTCCATGGTGACCGCCACTGTCAGAACCTGCTGGAAAACACACACACCGAAATATTACCAAACACTGTCACTGCAACTGCAATTTAAGTTGCCTATAAAAGAAAAATATGATCAAACTATTCAAAATGAGTGCTCAAGGCAAAACACCAAAGGTGTTAGGGTAAATATTTTAGCAAATAGATATCACCATACTTCACGCATTGATTAAGACAATTGTTTTGTATTTCAAGTTCCGGAAATGTTATGTTTAAATATGCAAATGAGGCCATATCTATTTGAAAGAGCACTCATTTGAATACTTTTCAAGAACATAAATCTCAAGCCAGGGAAATCCTGCATACGTCTGTTATTTCACTAGAAGATCCAGTTTTGACATTTTAATTAAAAATGATGAGGTAATGAATCACAATAAGATCTATAACATGGATTTTAGTAAAAAGATTTTCATTTCATGCCGACTTTAATTTACGGCCACAATATATTGCCTCAACAAGCACAACAAACTAATGATGTCTAGGAAGGTCAAGACATAGTGTAATATGTATAATGTAAGAAAAGCACAATTCATAATATAAATCCATAATTCTAAATAGCAGTCAAATGAGATCTCACACTCAGAAAGGAAACTCAAAAGAGGGTTCAAACTTCAAATAGCCAAAAAAAATGTAAATGACGATGGCAAACCTTTGGTCAGGGCTCAGTTTGTCTCAGTCGATGCTTTTGGCATGTTGCACTGCCTGTTTAAGGACAGGAAACACCAATCTTGCAGTCAGCTTCTCTTTTTAGAGTTTCGTGTACAAGAAAGTGAGGAAGATGTTAGGTTTGACAGCATTCCTTAACCTTTTTTTTTTTTTTCAAAATTCTGTATGTTCTTCTGAGTTATTGTAAGTGGCTGCAAGAAGTGTTGTTATATAATATGCATCATTATAGAGAAACTGCTTCAGAGAGCTGTTAATGTTTTACCGCTGTGACCCGGGGAACTCAAATCATGATGCTTTTACAGCAATTTCAACAAACCTGTAAGACACGATAGCATTCACAGCTGACTCCACTGCAGCCTGCAAGCTGAAGAAAATGATAGACACATAGATATTATACAGCATGTGTCTATGAAAATGATCCCTCCATCTCATTCTTACTCACCTTTGCTAGTTTTTGAATACAGCAAACATGTTTAACTGCTGAAGAACAGAGTGTGAATGTGACAGCAAATCCATCTCTTCTTTTTATATTCAGATAACACTTACACTCCTTTGCCTTAAAGGCACAGAGTACAACTATATATATATATATATATATATAAGTGCTGTCAAACAATTAATCACAATCGCATTCAAAATAAAAGTTTTTGTTTACATAGGTGTGTGTACTGTGTATATTTATTATGTATGTATATATAAATACACACACATGCATGTATATATTTAATAAAAATGTTACATTTATATATTAAATATGTAAGGGATAATGTACATCCAGCCAGTTGTACTGCTGGATGGCACGATTGACCCATCAAAATCAAGTATTCCACAGAGCCGTGTAATAAATTTATATATAATATAACCCGGGGAACTCAAATCATGATGCTTTTACAGCAATTTCAACAAACCTGTAAGACACGATAGCATTCACAGCTGACTCCACTGCAGCCTGCAAGCTGAAGAAAATGATAGACACATAGATATTATACAGCATGTGTCTATGAAAATGATCCCTCCATCTCATTCTTACTCACCTTTGCTAGTTTTTGAATACAGCAAACATGTTTAACTGCTGAAGAACAGAGTGTGAATGTGACAGCAAATCCATCTCTTCTTTTCTCTCATTGTGTCTGCCTCAGCTTCTTCTCAGTCATGCCTGCTGTTGCCACAACCTTCGCTCTTTTTTCCTTGTTAGGCTCCTCCCAGTTTTAACTCTCATTTATTTCTCTCTTCATATTTGTTTTGTCTTTCTCTCATTTTTTTCCCCATCAGGCTCCTCTCGTGGTCTCGTAAGATCTCTCTTTCTCTTTCACTCTTTGTGAGTGTTTCTTCCTCCTTTACGTGAATGCAAAACTAATTTTAAACCCTCCCCCTTGTGCTCTTCGTCTATCTCTTTATTTTGTGTCGTTTCTTTTTCTCTCTATGCTTGTGACTCAGCTCAGTCTGAACACATGACTGCAGGAATGTACACACAATTTCACAGACCCATGGCGAAAAGTGTGGGTCTGGGCTTGAATGTGTGTGAGCCCGAAAGAGAAAGAGACAGGAGATGATAGTGTTGTGGTTTTTCTACGTGTATTTGCCAAAACTGGTGCTGGTCATTGAGTTTGTAGAAAATAAACTAAACAGGTTTTGAGTCAAAAGTCCAATTGCACTGTTCTCTAGCAGTGGCTTAGTATGTTGGTTTCATACACCTGGTAATTGTGTTAAATTAGGATTTTTTTGGTGAATTCTGTCCTCCTAACCAATGTCATGTCAATGTCAATATCATCATGTTTTTATAATGTCTGTTGGGATTTTATTTTATTTATTTTAGCTATGGCTTTAAGGCCAGGGGGAAACAATTATATAAAAATAAAAAGCACAAAATATAATTGCCAGTACACTAATGCCATCAACAGGCTTTATTAAAAAATGCATTTAAATTAGCACAGTAGCTCAGGTGCATAAGTAATCATTTGTAGTTAAATCAAAATGTTATATAATAATATGCAGAGGTAACATTTAGGGAGATAAACTATTTGTTGTTGCTGTATTTATTTATTTCAAAAAATATACATTTGATAGACTTGTATGACAATGTTTCCATAAGGGTTTTTTGTAATGTACTGTTCTATTATGATGATGATGATTAATATAATGATTTGTAGCAGAGTGATAATATGCAGCACAGTGGAGACAAATTTGTAAAAATATATTTGAATTAAACTAAAGCACATTTCAGTTCAATATCATGTCATCTTCTGCATTAATATAGAAAGTAAGCAATCAAAATGTAAGATATCTTGCATATAGTGCAGCACTCAGGACTACAGGACTGTCTCAGGGTCCTCTGATAGGCTATCTTACACATTTATTAGTAAAACAGCATCTGTTTTTGTCATGCTGTTTGTTAGGTCAGGATGTACTTTTCAACAAACATCTTGAAACCATTTATTCAGTAACTAAAATCTTAGCCTTCGGAAGGCTAAAGATGGTCAGTTTAAAATGATTAAAGACATTTCTGTGTGTAACAAGTGCACCATTTGTGATGTGGACAGTCATCTTCCCTCAAGATTCATCTAATGGTGAACAGAATTGGTCTCTGCAGCAATGATCTAGCACACTTAAAGTATACTACATATAAATCAAAGGTTTACAGCTCCATATGAACCAAACACATGTAGGCCTACAGCACTGACTGATCAACTTTAATCAAGTAAAATATGATCATGGATGCAGATACAGACAACTCTTGGCACTATAGGCACCTGACCTCTCACTCACTGACTCCACCTGCTGGGAAATAAAAGTGACCCTACACAAGAACACTTGGCCCATAGCATACAATTAACAAACTGAATCCATCTTGCAGGTACGAAACGACGTTGATGTAGAAATGATTTGGTTGAGGTGTGTCTGATAGCACTGGACTTAGTTTAGACTCCCAAATGCCTTATAAACTATTTCCCACATTTTAACGGCTTTTCTATGAGGAGAAATCAAATGTATGTAAACATTGTTACGTAAAAGAGATATATATGTATATATATATATATATAACGTATGCCTATTATAAACATCATATAGGCTATTGTGTATAAACATACAAAAATGAAAATATTTGTAGTTTATAGTTCATAAAATTTAACCAAAAATAACAATTAATCGAGTCTATAAAGATCATACCCTCACATTTAAAAAAAAATAATTGTTTTAAAATAAAATATCTATTGCACATATTTCCCACTTCCGGTCTGGCATGTGACTCTGACGCCACGCGGCGGTCATATGACTCTGGTTAAAGCTGTGAGTCGGCTGTTGTTGCCATGTAGATACTTCAGGATTCTTATTAAAGGAAATATATACCGTAATCAAGAAATTCTTCTTATCTGCGTATCGCAGTCATATCTGCACTGTTGTCGCTGTCTTTATTGTTTCGATGGATTTTGTTCGACAGTTCGGAATTGTGCTTTTAATCGCGGTGTTTTCCGGCACTCGTGCAGACGAGCTTCAGGTAAATACAGCACTTCTGTCACATGATTCTGTGCTCTTAAATATATGCTGGTAATTTGTTTGACTGTAGCATATATATGCAGAATAATAACTGAACTAAATTTACATGATGCAGTGATGCATGACTTTAAGCACTATGTGGTTTTGTTTATATATATAAAAAATCTATATTTATAATATAGATTATATATGAATATAAATATATATATATACACGTTTAAATATATTTTTTTAAATATGTATGTTTGTGTATTTATATATACATAATATACACAGTACACATAC